AAAAATTTGCCTGAAACATGTGCTCACAACCTCGAGCGGTTGTATGCGGCATGGTGTTTCGAGTGTACTTTCAATTCTTAATAGCGCTAAGCACTAATGGCAACTTCCGCCGTTACCAACGACGCGCTTATATAATCCGGCAAGCCTATAAGCCATCAGATCACTACAAATGACGAGGGAAGCCGAGATCTGGGATGAAACCACGGATGGTCTTCAGCCAGGTGCACCGAGATTAGGATTAAGTGACGCTGCTGAGAATGGGGGCAAGACCACGGAAAGGACCAAATAAGTATCGATGTGGAGAAATGGCACTGCAACGAGAACTGATTGTTTCCATTTGATTCACGCATCTGGGGCACACCAGGACCAGTACCCGCACCCGCTACTCAAGTCCTACACTTTCCGAAGCCGGTAAATTGATGCCATATTCCATTCTGGATGATGCAGGATCAAAGAGCTCCTGGACACTGAGCAGATTAACCCGAGTCAGACGGCCTTGGCAGAGACCTGCAGTATTCTGGCTAGACACACCGACAAGACCCCTTCCTTCACACGACACTACTTCGATCAACACGAATTCCTCGAAGAAGAACGGAATCGGGATAACTAAAAACTAAAAGGAAAGTAGAGGGACTGTCTGGGCCAATAACGGGTCAGGGAACCAGCGCAGCGACACTACAGAAGCGATATTGAACTCGGGTCGGCATCGGCTTTTATCGTAAAGCATCCAAAGCGGTGAATTCTAGAAGGCAAGCCGAAGAATACCAAAGTCCACTGAGCGCTATAGTCCTACACAGAATGAACATACTGTTAAAATTTCGCTGTAGCTGACAGGTTTCACTGACAAAACAAAACCCCTGGTGTGGTTTACCATCGCCCCGAGATTTGTTTAGCCTGATAGAGATAGTCTGACCTCAAATTCAGATAGCTAACTCACCGGGCATTTTGGCCTAGGTCTGCCTTAGAATCTAGAACAGAAGCGCTATAACAAGCAACAGGCAGCGTTTCGCAGTCAAACACGTAAAAAGCGCACGCAGCAAACCTCGAATAAAGCTAAACTCGAAGTCCGCGCACAGAGAGCATAAAAGTTAGAAAATAAAAACCTATGCCCAGACACATAAACTTCTATAAACCATTGATAAGGCTGCCGTCTTTGGGTCGCCTGGATTTTACATATCAGCTGAGCATGCTCCGATTGCCTTCGACGAAATTTCAGCGTAGGTCTCGCGCGATGCATTTCTGCTAATTGCCGGTGTCGTTGGCGGCTAACCGTGATTTGAAAGAACAATGTAGTGGACAGTGCACCGAACTGCAAGCGGGGCGAACGTCCTTGACCGCAGATTTTTCTAGTAACTTCCTGATTGTTGCGCATTTTGGTCACCGCTTTCTTGGCGGGTAGCCACCCTCCTCCACCAGTTACCAGTGGCTTTTAGTCGAGTTCGTTGACATTCGATCAGAAATCGAACTTGTACAGTCCAGCATTAGGAACAGTTGTCGTGTGTATCAAAAAAGAATGGATGGGATTCGTACTTTCACGCTGCTGTTTTGGACAGCGCCTGGCTGATTACGCGCTGCCGGTTTTGCGTTGGTTTTTGGATTGAACTTTTCGGCATTTGCTTTCAGTGTTGGCGCTTGCAGCTTTTCTGGGCTGGTAGGCTCCAGTTAACCTTCTTGTCGTTCTCTCTGACTACTTATACTGCTTCTCCGTAATTTTAATGCTGTAATTGATGATGTGTCCCGTGAAGTCGAAAGAGGCTTTTTTCTCTGTTTTTTTTTCTCCTGTGGGTTCATGAAAAAGCATTTGAAATCCATCGCTCCTCCACCGTGTGCTATGTGCCCTAGTGGACGGGGCTTATCAGCACAAAGACAGGCGAACAATAGTATTCTCCTTGTCTTCCCTCTGACAATATGAATTACTACATCCCCGTAGGGACCTTTCATAAGACTCCTACCACTGTTTTAATCTGTTTAGTCACGGAAGACGGGGGTCGTATTGAAGTGGCAGAGGGCCTGGAATGGGAAAATGGAATGGGTTGAACTGACACTGAAATATTCCACATCCAAATGACATTCCTGGGTTCTGTAGTATATCCATCGGTTGCCTAATGGGCCCAGTTCATAGCCATTCATTTTATAGTTATTCTTCACATTTAAATCATGCCCTATTCTGAAGAATTGAAGGTCAATCTGCTCAAAATTTCGTCGCGAACCTCAGATACACGCTAAATCCTGGATGAGGAGGGCGTGACCGCTTAATTTATTCAAACGTAGTGGCTGCGCTTCTGGTCGGATCTTTCCATTTTAAGACAGTCTTTATCATGCCTTTGTCCGGCACAAGACAGGATAAAAGTTGTTTCAGACGGGTATCCCACGCGAAGCGCATCCCACGCTAAGTTTAAACGAAGTGCGCGGCCCACTCAACTTCCGGGATGTTAAGTGTGAGTTTCGTCTACAGAATGAATCATGACAAGAAAAATTTCAGGAATCGCTGTAATATCATGGGCTTTCTCTTTTCGAGATTGATCAGAAATATTGTCATCGCCTACGTTATATTCAGTGGTGTTCAGTATTTGCTTCGATCAAAGTCCTACAGCATTTCACCTAAAGAATTCCGCAATATTGCAAGCAAAGCACAAGGTGGGTTCATTTCCTTCTTTATGCATTGAGGTTAATGAATGATGGTGCAGTTCGGCGACGGGGGGTTGGAAGGGGTTTCCATTTGGAGAGTTATTTTATGAACTTAATTTGACAGGTTTTACCATGGGAGCTTCACATTAGTTCACAGGTTCCACAGAGTGAAACTTGTGAACACAGCTGATGTGCAAAATGCCCCCATCGCTGAACTGCGCCTGGAAGATTCAAAGTTTTAGGGCCTATAAGGTTAAAAAGGATGGCGGTTTTGGATCTGGAGCACGGTCTGCCTCCGAACTCCAAACTCCAAAGAGAGGGGAAAAAGGAGAAACCCGTCAAAAACGCTCAAGATAACGCACCTGCAAGCTCTAGACACCACGTGAGCCCTGAATGGTAACAGAGAAACAGGCGATATTTTGGCTAGATAGTACGCAGATTGTCAACATTCAGGGCTACATAGCCATGATGAAGCAGAGATAAAGGTGGAGAGCTACCTCGAGGGCGGAGCGCACCCATAATGACAACTGCCCTTCTCACTGAGCACTTCCGAACCCTTAAAGTTGTAGATCCTTTGCTATTGCATAGCGCGCTACCATGTGCACGAAGGGGACTGAGTACGTCGGGCTGTGTCTTTGAGTGCGCTTTGGTGGAACGCACTCAAAGCACATTCCGCGATAGTACCCAGATAATAACGAAAGGATTTGTCCTTTGAAGAGGATTTTAGACTTTTGACTGTAGACTTTTGTCAAGTGTAAAGGAAGCTCCCGTGTTGCAGCCTTGCCGGTATTCGTAGTTCTCGAGTGAGGTTCCATCGGCAATGATCGATGGGAACCAGCAAAGTGCGCCCTCCTAGCCAAACTGCGTCTAGATTTTTTCAAGTCGTGTTCGAAGGAAGCTTTCGAATGTTAAGCAGCGACGCTTCGGATCCTATCGACTTCCTCAGGGCCACAAGAAAAAGCCATAAATTACGTGCCAGCGCTGATGCTCGACAATTCACACAACAAAGCATGAAAAACTAACACCGGAAACAGCTGAACAATTATTGAGAGAATGCAGGGTTCAAGTCGGTCAATTGGTACTGTTAGCCTCATGCATCGCTTGTTTCATTGACATTGGGGGGAGGGGGAACTCGCTTCCTATTTCATGACTTTGCAGCGATTCAGGCAAGACAGTTCACTCGCTTGGCCTTTACTTCTTGTTAATAATTGGTCATTTGTCGTCAAGTATTCATTTTCTGCGTTTTGTTGTATGGTTCATTCACTGGTAGTATTGTCGCCCGTAATGGATGGTCGTTGCCTTGTAAAACTGAGGCATGAGTCAGGGTCTGAAACGTCGTTGGATGAGAGCTAGCAGAGTTTCTTCGAATAAGACGCGAATAAATACCTGTGCAGTTGCAAAAACGCAGGAATAAGAGGGCTTTTTAGTTGCTCTCTATGTGTCTGTCTGGAAATGAGTCGAAGGTTTTATCTTCTTAGACGCCTAACTGCTATTCAAGAAAAGAATTTCAGGCTCCGACAATGTGGCTTCTGCTGTGAGTCGTATTTCAACCGATTTGCGCCGTGCTTACGGTCCAGTCATCGCTGCGGAAACATCTTGGGTTAGCTTTACTTGTCCCTTTTTTTCTTCAGTGTCTAACGCCTTTTTTTCGAAAAGTGCATATTGTCCGTCTCCATTTAGCAAGCACTCAACTTGGGTCATTTACCGCTGAAAGCGCTATTCCTTCATGCGTCCATCACAGAATTTATTGCCATCATTGGCACGCCTTACCCAGTATCGGGACGAGTCGGTTAGTCTCGAAAACGTGATTTCTGTTTATAATAAGTTTCAGTAGTTTTCTTTCAAAGGTATGCACTGGTCGAATAGCACTTGTACGGTTTTGACTGGATCCGTGGGCCGTATAACGGATCTAGGCCATATGCCAAGCAAGGAAACTTTCAGTGCAGGTACGACACATTCTAAAATGTTTAGTAGATGAGATGGATTTGAGTGGATCCGGAAGCTCATGGATCACTTTTTCTGAGAAGTGTAGAGCAATTTATTGGATAATTCCAGGAGGCAACTTCCGCCATGGACAGTTTGAGTCTCATATTTACAATTTTGGTCAAGACACATACGTAGTTTGTTATGGTGAGTTTTTGGCATGAGTGAGTTGGTTTTCAATAGACGAAGGACTTCCTGGTCACTCACTTTACTATCCACACGCTTCTGAGTGAGCGGTGAGCGCTATGAGTGCTAACTTGTAGCATTTCTGAAATGTTTACTACTGAGGCGTTGAGAGCGTAGAGCATTTCATACATACCCTTTGGTGAGTTCATACTTCCCGATCCGGTTGTTTACATCACGTGATCGGATGACGAAGTATGAACCCTGAGTGTTAGTGTAGGTACTTCTCAAGCCAAATCTGCTAGGCGTATTTTTCTCCATAGGCGTACGAGTGATGTGGGTTTTTGCACAAAAAAACTAACTAACTAGTGACTAAAAAAATCGGTAGCAACAGTAAGTTGTCTGGTGGAGTCATTGAAAAAGTAAGCAAAATAGGTTCCAAAGAAAGATTGTGCGATTAACTTGGAAGTCGAATCATCTCACGTACAACACGGACAATTCCACAGCTGAGAAGTTCCTACTTTTGATCCATTGAAGTGGCAATAAAGCTAGAAGCCTGTGAAACTTTGATTTTCCTGATTCCTTCCCCCACCATACGCCACACGGACACGTGACAGTTTTAGGATATCTGACAATCGCGAAGTCCCCCTCCCCCTTTCTTTTTTTCCTTCCTCCTTCCTTCTTTCTTCTCTCATACCTTTTCCTTTGTTCCTCCTCTTGAAATGCTCCGCCAGTAGATGCCATGAGGAGTTTTCTTTGAACCCTCGCAGCTAGAGAATTCCCGGTTAAGAGAAATCCTATACCTGATTCTATATCTCAGTTTGGTTTGGGTAAGTCCCACCGACGCGATTAAACCCACCAAAACCATTCTTGCTGAGAGAACGTTGTCGAGAAGTGCGAAAGGCATTGTCTACAGGTTGCAGGTTGCAACTGTTCAGAATCGGCGAAAGAAGCGCATCCTTGGAAAGGTTCTGATGCCTACAACAGGGAGGATCGGCGAACCGAGGGCCGAATCCACCGAACGCGGGGAAAGAGTTAGATACGTATTGATCAGAAGAACTAGCGAAACGGGTAGACGAAAAGCCAAGTTCGCTCGCCCTCCTATTCTTCACTTGGGCGGGGTCAGCGGAACCAATAGTACCGTTTTGCAGTGGCGGCAATGCGGTCGACGATTCTCCCAAACGATTCGCATAAATTTCTTTCCGCCGAATCGTCAGGGTCGTAGAGTGTGAACAAACACGTGGCCCTCGTACTGGTTACACGAACGTGACATTAGGATGCACCGAGATATTGGGGATGTGAAGCTCTCACAAGACTTCTTCAGCCTTACTCTTCGAAAACAAAGGGCAAACTAGCAAACATCTGCGTTTGTGAAAGTGCGCGATTTGTACAGGGGAGTATCTGTCTGTCTAGTGATCGTACAGTGTGCCTTCAGATGTCTCTACTGACAACGCTTACACTGTAGGAGTTGAGAAACAGCTAGGAATTTACTTTCTGTTAACCCCTGCTCTAAATATTTCTGCATTATGCTGACTTACGCGTTATGAAGCACCATTTCTACCTAACAATCGACGCTTTTTTTTCGCACCACTCTGGGAGCAGGAAGCTTTCTTTTCCTCTCGGCTGTCCTAAATGTACTTAATTCGTGTGCACGTACTATTAGAGATCTGGGGAATTGTTGCCAGAAGCCATGAAGGATACTGTAGGACAACCGCGTTCGGATGAGCCAAGAACAAGGCATTGCGAAGCAATCGAATGATACCAACAGGCCACTATTCCAATTACACCCTAATTTCCGAGAGCGCAGGCTGGCTCCGAAGGTTTGATACGGACTCTTTTCCATAACAGGGCAAGATGTTGGCTCTGAAAGTTGGGCTTCTAGCAGGGGTAATTCGACCTCCTGAACACGAATATCACATCCACTTGGCCTGAAAGTGCCTGGCGCCCGCGCCAAAAACCCTAAATCACCGAATTCGCTGAAAACTTGTTTACGGAGGTTACTTGACATCTTGATTACAAACATCACATTCATTTTTGAAATGCCAATCCTGTTGCCGAATGGCGCCGAGAATTTTCATAATTTGAGTGTTATGCAAAAGATCTCGGTGATTCTGTCTGAATGGAATACTGTATACGACCGTCCAAACAGAACCGATGAATATTTACAATAGCCATCAATAAAATTTTATGAAGCACATAAATGGGTCGTCTTTCAGGCCGTGGTCTCATGCCTGTTTCTGGTCTTTGGGCTGCAACTGGTGCCCTCTCACATGGTGAACCACTTTCGTTTGGTCGTCTGATGTACACATACGGTCACGAAGCATTCAACCAGTTAAGTTTGTCACTTACCAACACTTTCAACTACTACAAAGCGAAAGCGACGGGAAAAACGGAATTGTGAACAACCCGTCAGTCTTAGTTCATCACGTGTACCGATCATAAATAAATTACTTCATTTGGGAACCTCTTGATTTTATTTGTTCATCTTTATTGCGGTTCTCTTATTCTCTTGCCCCCTTCCGGTTATCAAAGCATAAGTGATCAGAAATGTCGTGTACTTAATAATCCGTTAGTTTCCGTTCGTGATCTTTCAGCGGCATTTTTTTTGTCAGAACTCTTTCAATAAACCTAGATAGCACAATGAAGTAATTTCATGAATGCTTCTGGAACTGTGCCAAACGTTTGTTTGGAAGTAGGCACAGCTCTATACTGGTTAAAGTGTCGCAGTAAAATTTTTTGTTGTGTTTTTGTCCCCCATAATTAGATGGCTTTGATTGTTGTAGTAGTTCGTTTTAATGAATGTTTTATTTTCTGTTGAAGCTGTAGTTCTCGTTCTAATGTCCAAAATAGCTGGTAGGATAAGGATAACCAGGAGCCGGGCTCACGCAGTACGTAATCAAGTGATGTATCAGGGCATATCATTAGTCGGGGATTTTGGTCGAGTTCGTACCACCCCCTCCCTAGTAACCTCCTCATCGAGTTGTCGAAGGGGGTGGGGGTATGCAGCACACATGAAACAGGTTCAGAAAGTCAACAACTTCCCAGGTCAGAAAGGAAATAACCCTTCCCAAAACGAACAAATACGCGCCCCTTACAACGTCCGTGAAACAAGAAATATCAACTATCAGAATCATTGCGACTGAGAACAAGGTAAGCCAGCTCACTTTTATCGATTCTATACCGCTAGAGGGTTTGCTAGGATATCGAAATGGTCTTATGTTCTTGTGGGGCGTTCGAGGGAACAATCTCAATTGTTTTGGACTTCTTCAGGCCCTGACGAAGGCGAGGAAGCCGAAACGTTGGCCAATAAATTATAAAAATCTTGGACGGCTCAAACTATCCACCTGCTTGAAGATACAACAATGCCAAGATTAAGAGAAGGTCGATCCTGGTCGATATCAGAATAGGTTTCTCTCAGCCCAAATACGACCCTCCTCTCCCAGCGACCAAACAAGTTCTTCCGCATAGCCGTTCGAATTTGAATATTGAAGGGATGGGAAGTGCTTGATCTACTGTTAATTTGGCGACAGTCGCACGACTTCTTTCTAGTTTATTTTGTGAAATTTAAGTAATAAAAAGTATCTTGCGACTCTCGCGAGTTTCGCTGCTCTAGTCAAGAAACTGACGCACTGTCTGGATTTCTCGCATGACGCCCACACTGAAAATTCATCGCTAGATGGGTTACGTGACAACTGACATTTTTGGTGGGGGTCCTGCTGGGAAGGACCTTTGTGCATGGTCCTGTTACGAAACCCTGTGACGCAGACGGATAGAGGGCAGCGGCTGCCAAAGCATCGAAACGTGCAAAAAACGTATGGCGAGCCAGGAAACGGGATTTTTCAAGGGGAGGGGACTCCGGGGTGGGTGAGCTACTTATAGTCGGTGAAAAGCTGGAGTGAGCGAAGTCACAACGGCCATAGAGTGCCAT